ACGCACACGGACTGCGCGCGCGCATGGCCATGCCTCATCCGTGCTGCACGCACGCGGACGGCGCGCACGCATGGCCATGCCTCCTCCGTGCATGCACCGCACCGCGGAGCGCGCCGCACGCATGCGCCATGCTCCTCGCTGCATGACACGCCAACGACGCATCTGCGCGCACTGGGCCATGCCTCCTGCATGCACGCACACGGAGCGCGCGCGCGCATGGCCATGCCTCTCCGTGCATGCACGCACGCGACGCGCGCGCGGCATGGCCATGCCTTCCGGTGCGATGCACGCACACGCCGACGCGCCGCGGCATGGCCATGCCTCCTCCGTGCATGACGCACTGCGCTCAGCTACTCACGTGCGCACGCGATGCGCCATGCCTCTCCGTGCGATGCACGCCAGCCGGACGCGTGCGCACGACACGGCCATGCTCCTCAGTGCGTATGCACGCACGGTCCATGGCCTCCGTCCGTGCAGGCAGCGATGCGCCATGCCTCCTCCGTGCATGCACGCATGGCCATGCCTTCTCCGTGCATGCACGCACGCAGCCCTGCTTCTCACAGGCTGGTCACATCGCAAATGAGACGGAGGGTGGGAGGATGGAGGGGACGAGCGAATCATGAGTGGGGGGAGTCAGAGGGGAGAGGAGGAGAGAGGCACAAGTGATTTGAGGGAGTAGGTTCAGGAGGCGGGTAGAGAGGAATATGGTGGATGAGTGAGATAGGAGGACAGGAAGAGGGGGGAGGAAGAGGAAGGAAGGAGAGAGGGAAGAGATCGGGCAGAGAGGAAAGTGCGAGTGAGGAGGAAAGAGGAGGAGGATATGACGGAGAGGGAAGGTCATTGGCAAATGGATAGAGGTGAGAGTGAGAAAACGAAGAATACAGAGAGATGGGAGAGGAGATATATGAGAGTGCAATATACTTTATGGTATAGCGTTAGATGACATGCGGTAGGGTTATAACTGGAAAGGGGAATATTAGCGATGCAAGGTATGTAATAAGTAATCATCGAATAAACTTTAGGAGAATAAAACCCTAAATGTGAAAGTGGAAAATAATTTGAATAATATAATAGTTTAAATATAATGGGTAAATATAAATAAATATAAAATAAAATGGAATATTATCCTTGATGTGAGCGTTCAGATTACGCAGGTAAGGTACAGGTGGGAAACCCGGTAAAACTCGGCACGATCTGCCAGGTGACGACTCAGATTCCTCAGATGTTCCACCGGATAGACGCTCACAGCTTCTCTGAGCTGGCTGACGTCCGCTTTCAATTCTTCACACAGAAGGTAGCGCTGCCTGTGCATGTGCTTGCTATCCCTAAAGCCTAGGACATGATTTTCTACGCTGGCTACTTGCGATCGATAAATACGGTTCCGGGTCCGCGCGGTGTGTCCAGTCTCACGGCAGCGTATTTCGCTCGCGAACCCATACGCCCGGCGCATCGCTCGTATTCAACATGTTGAATATTTCCGCCCGGTTTTTTGACCCGGCACCGTCGGCGGATCGCAAGCGGCCAGCGTAGAAAATCGCACAGTGTGTCCTAGGCTTAATGATTGAAATATATCGAAAATCCTGGAATGTATACGATAGCCTTGGAGAGTCACGTAAAACGAACTATTGTTATGCGTGGGCTTAGAAATGGTCTGCCGTCTTCTCTTTGAGTTGTTAAAACAGGGTTCATATTATGTAGGATGTATGATGTGCGTCATTTTCGAGAAACTGTGTGTTAGCACTATGGGTGTGGGTTTCGTGAGGGTTTTCTCTGAGATGCAATAAAATTTAATTGATTAGGAATCGGTTCACTAATCGCTGATTTGGTAATATATATATGAGGCTCAATGATTATATTCGGCCAAAACAATCTGACCAACAACCACGGTCTTGGAAAATTTGCCCTTTAAGTGTTGGACAAGTAGTGGAAAATTCTTTGAAAATGTTTTGCATAATAGGTTTATGAACCCGGTTATGACTTTGTACTCACCGTCTCATTAACGTTGCAGATATTGCCGCAGTACAAGGATCCGGTGATGAGGCAGACTTTGGTGTTTGTCCCGTCCTACTTTGACTTTGTCCGGCTGAAGAACTACGTGCGGGCCGAGTCACTGAACTTCTGCATAGTGTCCGAGTAAGCGCAAAGTTATAGGCAAACATCATGCGTGCGTTCGAGCCAGAAATCCTGATACGATCTTTTCCAATCGCGTTCCTATCTCCAATACTGTTAATATTCGTGATTATTTCTTGATGGCGTATAATGTTTTTGTGTGCGTGTTGGTTGGTTTCGATGTGCCGTTTTGACAAAATTTGACGTTTTTGCTTTGAATTGTCACCGTTTTGGTTGTTATTTATGATAAATGTAGAAGCAAACTTGTGTTATGCGCAAGGTTATTGTAATCACATGATCATCGGTTAGTCATCGGTCTAAATGTGTTCTTGTGAGTTCTAATCGATCGTCTCCCGATAGCAATAATCCTGCTCAGAACACCTGCACAATATTTTCTATTATATCCATAGAATGAAAGTTCTCTGTGCTGACATTAACAAGCTTTGTTAACACGCAGGTTCGTGTTTTAATCTGATAATGTAGGTACACGCCGGATAAAGATGCGTGGAAGGCGAAGAAACTTTTTGCGAAGGGAAGGGATTCACATCAACTGATGTTGTTCAGTGAGAGATACCATTTCTTCAACAGGTAATTTCCTGAGTTCATACCACTTTTATTAATTTCTCAGCAATAATATACTAAAACCGTGTAGTAAATCCCTGAATAACTTTATTAGATTTCTTGATAATAGAATAATAATTTATAATAATAATAATACATTTATTTTATGATGTATCCATTTATATAAGCTGTTAGCAACCTGCTGCTGCCATCTGGTGCCAAGCAACTATTCAGCCTGACAAAGTCTAAAATCTGGGTTGGTTATCAAAACCGTTGCTGACAGGCTAAAGAAATGGATTCATCATAAAATGAATTCAACCTCATTTTACACGTAGTGAAGTTAGTTATTTATCAATCTAAGTTATTGGCTGTAATTGCCGAGATTGCATTTGTCTTGCCGTACTTGTATGAGTACTGCCAGTAGTGTAGCGTAGTGTAGAGTGGTAGATGGATTCGCACGTGGGAAACGTGACAGGGCCCGCCTTCTGTGGCCCCCAGTACTGCCAGTAATTTCCATTCATTAATACAATTGATTGGTTAATTGATTGTGTAGTATTTGTCTTGGCGTTATTCGTGTGCGCGCGAAGTTCTAAACATGTCGTCTCGTTGTTGCAGGTATCGGACGCACGGCATCAAGCACATTGTCTTCTACGAGCTTCCGCGATTCCCGCACTTCTACAGCGAGATGTGCAACATGATCCGCCGCGTGACGCAGGCCGACAACATCTCCTGCAGCGCCATCTATTCACGATACGACGCTCAGCGGCTCGCCGGCATCGTCGGCTCCGGCCGCGCCGGTCACATGATCAACGCCACGAAGAGCGTTCACATGTTTGTCACGGGCACCGACGGCATCTTGTGAACGGAATCGTACGCTGTTTGGTGCGGTTCCATGCAGCTGGCTCCATCTGTGGGCTGGTTTTGAAAGCTTTTAAATTGTAATTCGTGGTAGGGGTTTGTCGATTGTGTTGTAAGTGCAAAGTGCCAGGTGGATGTCTACCAGCGCTGAGTGTACTATTTTTTAATTATAAATTATTTTTATTTTATGAACGTTTTTTCTAATTTAGCGTCTAAACTACGGCAATGCAGTCATCCCTTGCCAACGTTTCTAACAATAACTTGTTCTTGGTCTTACTTCAGTTATAGAGAGAACTATATAGTTATTCTATGGTGTGACATCAGGGTTCATAGGTTTATAGGTTCTATGGTTGATCAGGATACATCTGGTCAACCACCAACTGTGTCACGCGTTGATTGACAGGACCTGCTTATGACGTTTCAATTGTCAGACATATAGCATCTATTAATCGACCGTTCGATATTCAGCCGTCATCATACGGTTGAAAAAACACCTGCTGCCGTATTGCGAGCGACTGCCACCCTCGCGATATGCACGTATTATCCATGCGCGTATCCATGCACGTATTATGCATGCGCGATATGCACGTATGCGTGGAATGCACGTATTATGATTTGTAATAAATACGTGTTATTACGTATTACTCGAGATTATGTAACTGTAATGAAGGCAGTGCGCATGTATCAGTGTATATAGTGCGTGGTTGTACGTTCATCTACCTGGTGGACTGCCACAGTCTTGGTCCCTTTTTATATCCGTTTTTTGTATAATATTCCCCTAGCGTCTATAGTCCGTTATGTCCATTCCATAGTTTTAATTGTCTCTCGCGTGCGTTCTCTCGCACTCTCCTTCCTTCTCCCTCTCCCTGTCCCTTCCTTTTCCCCTCTATCTTGCTCTTCCTATCGCTCTGTTTATGTATGCAGTGTTGTCATAATAACTTGTGTCAATGCGTGCAATTTCTCTTTCTAGCAGACGACATATTCGTGATAGCTGCTCGCTCTGCTACTTGATAAATAAACAACTGGTGCTGTTTCAAAAACATGTCCACTATCACTGCTAATCCTCATTATGATGACCTCATAGATATTAGTCTACAAAGTCCAAGAGACTGTATCAAAGACGGAAAGAGACAAAGTTGATCAAATAGACAGATCAACATGCTAATCATGATGTGGCGCCACCTACCGAAATTTACGGCATTGGCATTCTTATCAAATGATTGGCATTAATTGTATGCATTCGAATCCTTTGTGAACGTGTGTTCTCTGATCTAAATACATAGTTATGTACAAAGAAATACTATGTATTTACATTTATTTATATTTACATTACATTACATTTACATACTATTTATTTACAGAGGATTACTACTATATATTTATGTTACATTACTTTTACATGACTTTACAAAATGTACATTATATTACTATTTAGTTACAGAGGAATACTATATATTTAGTTCGGCGTTGTATATTAATTGTATCCCCCGCGACGAAGTCGGCGGGGATACTATGGTTTCATGTCTGTCCAGCCGCCGCCGCCGCACACTTTGCGCGACCAAACTTTGTATACTTACACATCTGGGGGAGAAGGTGTGCAGAATACCAAAACCAGGTCACTGCGACCTTTATTTGACCTTTACCTTGACCTTGATCATGTTTTCCTTCCGCTCTATAACTTGGCCCCTAATTGACCTAGCGCTACCAAACTTGGTATACTTACACATCTTGGGGAGAAGGTGCGCAGCGTACCAAAACCAGGTCACTACGCCCTTTATTTGACCTTTACCTTGACCTTGATTATATTTCCCTTCCGCTCTATAACTCGGGCCCCTAATTGACCTAGCGCTACCAAACTTGCTATACTTACACATCTTGGGGAGAAGGTGTGTCGCGTACCAAAACCCCTAAACAACCAATTTTAACATACTTGCACATCTCAGGCAGATGAGTTGTGTAACAAACCTTTGTCTTTGTGACTTATTTAACTTTACCTACCTTCTACGTCCTTACAGAGATATTTCATTTATACTAGATCACGGGGGATACATGTAGTTGGCGACAACTGCCCTTTGTAGTTTTTAGACGCGACACAAGCGCAGATTATAGGCATGGAAGTGTACACGGCATTTCACTACACACACAGGCATGGAAGTTTACACGGCATTTCACTACACACATAGGCATGGAAGTGTACACGGCATTTCACTACACACATTATAGGCATGGAAGTGTACAGAGCATTTCACTATACACACGTTATAGGCATGTAGTGAAGGGGGAAGGGAGGGATGTACGACAACCCGTGCAAGCAAGGCATCTGCCTTTACCTATCAGCGAAATCTGCTAAAGCAAGAGGTGTGTAGAAACTATATGCGGACCAAGAACGCGCCACGGGCTAGCATCCCACCAGCTTCCACAACGGTGTGTCCGTACGTTGCTTGACTCTGATACTGTCAGCTGCATATCAGACGCCTCGCCTGCGTACGCGGGTGTGTCCACAGGTATTACGGTATTACGGGTAGGTGCGTCGTGAAATCGTGAAACAAGCTAACAGTGAAGCGCTGTTGTGTTCGTGACACGGGGGCACGGGACCCCTGTGAGGTTGGGCCAGGCACTGCAATAAACTGTACACGGCTAACACATTACATCGCTCTCGTAATTCTTTTTTTTGTACAAATATTTACAAAAACCCAACGCGTCTCATGTGTGTTTTTCGATATATATTTCGGCGCAATCCTCCCGACGCACGTAGTCTTCATATATAAAAAAAATTTAAGAAAACCATTCCTAGTTATTACAAATGTACAAAGCTGGGTAGGTTTTCACACTAACACACGCCGTCAGAAGGCGCCCCTGTTGCTGTTCACTTGTCAGCTGTGCTGCCATGTTTCCCTACATATGCGTTTGTACTACGTCTCAAAACACATTCGCCAGGTCGTCAGTAATGTGCAACGTGTCGCAAGGGAAACGCAATCGAGAAAAACGGAACACGAAATGTCTCGACTCGCCTCAAAACCACAACCAGAAATTTAAATCACAAAAACCTCGTTGCATCGACGAAACATCTCTGATAACACTGAAACCCCGGTGCCTGATCGAAACTCACACACTGCCCACCTAACCGAAGCAAATCTCCCCACCTTTCTCATTCTCTCTCTCTCTCTCTCTATATATATATATATATAATATAGATATAGAGATCACTGGTGGGGACCAATGTTTTTTTGTAGTCACATGTACCTAAGTGTACCTTCACCACGGCTTTATATTAGTCATGAATTCATGTTTGCCCTCCGATGGTTGTTGTTATTCGTTAAGTAATGATAGTTATACATTTTTACCAGATTATTATAGTATTATTTATAGATTATTAGTATTATGTATTTAGCAGATAAAGAGTAATATCACGTGTCATAAAGTTATATATATATATAGGCCTATATTTGTAAGGTAATCAATGTCATTGTTATTGAGTGGATTGCAGAGTCCTACTATACACTTATATCACCCTGATCCAATAACAATATAAAGCAATAAGTCATAAATGATGTTAGCGATGCACATTGTCTCCATATAGAATGTATCGTTCGGCAGTCAAAGAAACACGAACACCACGATTTATTTATTTAAAGCAAATTTACTGATTCACCATCCTATTCAATAATAATAAACGATTATGTACCATTTTAACAACTTTATCTTACACAGTGGTTTCTTGATCACTTTATATAACAAATTGTTTGAGCTAGCTAGCCGAAATCTTTTCCCACCATCTGCTCCAAGATGGCAAAACGTACATTAAAGCACCTCTCACACGCATCATGCTATGTGTGACCTGTATAGACCATCTCCCTCCATACTAACACATCCGCAGCAGCAGCAGCAGCAGCGCAACTTCGGCACAAGGTCAGTTGGAGATCGGTATCAAATTTCCTTGCCTCGTAGCTGCTGATTAATTCACCTTCGCGATAATTACGTAGGTACTGTTCTCTAATGCGACCGTGCCTGCAACAACCAGCGCTCTCTCAAAACACCTTCCGAATATGATGCACAACGTAAGTACACAACGTAATTTTAGCGGACTCGGGTATTAAGTACACGACATACAATTTGCACGGAATCAAAATTCTCCTCCTTTTTTTGCAGACATCTAAAAAATGTGGTGCTCAGTTTCACGAGTCGGTAGTGGGGGGGGGGGAACATTTACTATATACTCTTTCCACCCTTCCCTAGGAAACGCCGAAACATTTGGCCAGTCACGCACCACGGATAGATATGCTGTGTAACCGATCATATAAATGCTACTGATCATCCTCGAGCGTTATAACTTTGGTACTACAGGAGAGATCAGTGGAATTGCAAAAAAAACTTTGCACGTCCGTAGAAAGCGCCCAGACCGGACCCCTACCACAGAAAGCCGGCTAGTGAAATAATATCAACATCGAATAGCTAGACAATGGAATTAAGTTGGCGGGGCCTGCGCCAGACGTTCTGTGTCACACCGTGGCAACAGTAACCATGACAACCACAATGCTTTGCGGATCGTGCGTCGTTACCGACGCTACATACCCTCACCACATAATCCAATGACCACCTCTCCCACGTCGCTACACACCTCAACCCCTCGCCATCACCGCAGCAAGGCCCCGCCAACACAACAAGTCTCAATAACTGCCTTCGAAAGCTGTCGTCACTCTGCCCTACCGGTCTGGACGTGGCTTTACCAGTGGATCGCACTAGGTATACACCACACTGCTGTGTATAACTGACGCTTTCTCACGTATAGTTGCATGACAACACACGGCACACACACGACGAAGGAAAGCGTCTATTCAACGACGTTATTACCATGACAACCGGCGTCGCACGAACACCGCGCCACCTGGTGGGAGGCGAACATCAAGTAACCAATCATAAAACGGATTACATATAATGATCTGCATTTCACTATACACACGTTATAGGCATGGAAGTTTACAGGGCATTTCACTATACACACATTATAGGCATGGAAGTTTACACGGCATTTCACTACACACATAGGCGTGGATGTGTACACGGCATTTCACTACACACATGTTGCCCTTGAATGTTCGCCCTTGCAGAACTTAATTGCTGCTAGGCGAACGCGAACGCGAGCTATTTCTGTAGTGTACGAGACGACAGATTGTGAATTGCGGGGTAACCCACACACACATGTAAGCGCCACACACGGGTACGCACTCTCTCTCTCACTCTCTCTCTCTCACCATACAAACTATATCGTGCATCGCGTCTGTTTAAAACATAGCATAACATGCTCTCATATGTGTACTGAAGCTCCAGCATGGAAACACTGCCATCATGGTTTGCATCTATGCACCTGGTTATTGCAGCTCTAGTCCTGTTCGTTGGCTATTTGCTACTGAGACCAAACCGCTGGCGGGGTAACCCACCGCCCGGCCCCAGCGGGTGGCCCGTCGTCGGCAGCATGTTCGAACTCGGCAACCGCCCGGAGATCTTTTTCACGAAGACGTCCGAGCGATACGGCGACGTATTCCGGCTCAACTTGGGCCGAAAGCGCGTCGTGGTTGCTAATAGTTACGAGACTCTGGCTGAGGCGATCGTGGAGAAGGCCCGCGTGTTCGCCGACCGACCACAGCTTTTATCGTTCAAACTCCAGGAAGGTGGCGACCAGACATTAGGCGTGCAGTTCACCCGAGCCTCGGAAATGCAGCGCAAGAAAATCAAGCTCGTACGCGCCGCGTTCAATCCGGCGATCCCCGACGTCGCTGAGAGATTTGACGCGGTTCTGCCGATAGAGGTCGCGTCGCTCGTGCAGGACGTCGCACGCGAAGATGGCGGGCCGTTCGACCCGCATGACGTCATCGAGTTCTGCAGCGCTATGTCAAACGTCACGGGAATGTTGCTCTACTCGAAGACGTTTCAAGAGAGAGACGAATCAGTATAGGAAGTGGGCGGCTACGATTATGTGCGGAGGTATCGCATATAACGTTCATCAGTTAGCTAGATGTGATGTGAGTGATGTAATGTGATTAGTAGGTGCAGTGAAACGATGCAGTTGCGTGAATAGATGTGTGTGTGTTAGTGTGTGTATCGGTGTGCGTGCCGTTGTGTGTGAATGTGTGAATGACCACTAGAGTGTGTGAATGTGATAGTATGTGAATGATTGTTGTGAGCTGGGTCTGTGTGTGGATGTGGATGTGTGTAGTCTGTAGGTGTATGAAAACTGTGAGTCGCCGCGCGCTGCGCGCGTGAATAAGATGTGCATGTCGTGTATGCATAATGTAGTAGATGTGTGTGTGTAGTGGAAAAATGTGATGTGATAATGGGTGTGTGATGAGTAATGAGAAGAATGTGTGAGCGGAGTGTGGTGAATCTGTGACACTGTAGTGTGTGTGTGTGATGTGAGGAAGTGTGTGTGTGATGTGTGTGTGCTGTGTGTGTGGTGATGTGTGTGTGGGGCGTGTGTTGTTTGCGTAGTGTTGCGCGCGCGCTGTGTGTGTGTGTGTTATGTGAATGATGATGTGTGTGATCGATGGTGAACAGTTGATGAATGATGTGTGCCTGCCTCGTAGGTGTGATGTTGTGTGTGTGAGTGATGTTATGTGTGTGTGTGTGCTGCGCGCGGATGTGCCGAGAAAGAAAGAAAATCGAAAGAGGGGAAGAGGGTGAGTGAGGGAAAGAGGGAGAGATAGGACGCATATATGCGCACGCGTATGCACAAGCGCACAACACACGCAACACAACACGGCAAAGACAGAAGAGAGAAGAGAAGAGAAACAGGAGTGAAAGAGAGCGAAGAGAGCGCGCGCGAGAGAGAGAGACCGAGAACATATTGATGTTGATTGTGTTGCGCTAGCCGCATCCGCCGCATCCACGCGCATTCGACACCTAACACGCATGTATATCTGTTTTTCATTTAAAGGCTGGAGCTAGGATCATGTCTGCTCATAGACTGGTTACCGTGGCTCTCCTGGTTTCCTAGCGCCGACGTGCGAGAATTACAAGCCCTCGTGCGTACGATGACAGGCTGGCATACGGATCTGATCGAGGAACACCGCCAGACCCTGAACGAGTCCAGTCCGCGCGATTTCCTCGACCAACTGCTAATCCAGCAGCAGACGGGCAAGCTGATGGTGTCCGACGCCGACATATGTCGCATCCTCGACGACCTTCAAAGCGCCGGCTTCAACACGGCCACGGCCAACATCCTCTGGGGCATTCAGCTGCTCGTGCAGAATCCAGACGTGCAGAAGAAGCTGCAAGCTGAGATCGACGAGGTCGTCGGCAGCGGCAGGGCGCCGACGACGAAGGATTGCCGCAACATGCCCTACTTGGAGGCTACGCTCTGGGAGATTCAGCGTGTGGGGATGCCTGTGCCTGTGCCTGGCGTGCGCGCCGCGTTGAGGGATACCACCCTGAGTGGTTACGACGTACCGAAAGGTACGATCATGCTCGTCAATCAAGCGAAGATAGCAACGGATCTCGCTAACTTCCCACAACCGCACAGGTTCGATCCGTCCAGGCATCTAGATGAGAACGGATCCGTCGTGACGCCAGAGAAAAAGTTGATGTTGTTTGGCAACGGATTGCGGATATGCGCCGGCAGACATCTTGCTCGCGATCAAATGGTTATCGTCATGGCGAATCTGCTTCAGCGGTTCACTTTCCGGTTACCAGATGGCGCCACAGCCTTCGACAACGTCGGCAGCACGGACGGTCTCGTGAGATTTCCGCTTCCGTATAAGATCAGAGCCATTCCGCGATAAACATACTTAGATGTAGTGATGAAATATAGACGAAATAACGTACGTTGATGTTAGTCAACATGATTGTAGTTGTGTATATAAGAATATCAGGATTGAATAATAATAGATTAGCTTAGATCTATTATTATTCACTCCTGATAATATCAGCTACTATATATATATAGTGTATTCTTTGTATTCTAATCTATACACGTGTTTTATTCTAGACATATTGTCGTTATCATGTGTATTTCGCGGCTTATATGGCGCATTTTTTATCAGAAACCATCTCGCGTTATAGAAACTGAAGTTCGTTGTTCTCGATAATTATTTTATTCATAGCTTAAATAATTGTAAGATATTTAGCAGTTTAACATTATTGTGTATGTATGCGTGTGCGTGCGAGCGTGCGTGCGTGCGTGCGTGCGTGCGCGTGCCCGCGTATGTAAATAGCATGAAGGTAAAACCTCAGAACAATTTTGCATTACCTTGGTATCCTTCTGATGTTTAACCATGGTGTTTTTTAGCTATAGTACGGTATACTATTCCTTTGCACCACAGCAGAATATACTAACCAATTCTGAGAATGAGAAGGATTTGTGTAATGCAAGGAATTTGAAGGGCATAACGATAATAAACACAGGGAAAAACAAGGATGCAGTCTTATTTACGGCGCACATAAACCAGTGGGGACCTATACCTAACTTATAGTAGTATTATAGTATAGTATAATTATACTACTTCTATTATAGAGTTCATCTCTCTCTCTCTCTCTCTCTC